TATTCTAAAACAAAAGGGTAAATGAGAAGAAATGAATGAAAAAAATATTATCATACACAACAGCTCCCACAAAGTACTATCCTGTCTTGTTATAGCTTTGGGTGCTGTTCAGCACCATGATGTTCTTATAATTGAGAGAAAACAGAAAGAGTCTCCATGATGGAACACGCTGACATAATATAAGGACATGTATCAAGGTGATGGGCAGTTCTGGCCTGTCAAAAATGCTACTGTAGCTTCAGCAGACACACCTCAACTAGCTTTGCAGCTGCCTGGTAACAGCATGGGGTCATTCCGAGTCTGTGAAACCTGCCTGAGAGTGAATAAATACTCAAATAACTAGTCTTGGCACACTGCACTGGATAATTACATCCGACAATCTTGTTTTCATGCCTTTATCCTGCTATACCTTTCAAGCTGTGGTCCCCAATCCATGCATGGGGACACTTAGGACACTGCATTATTACTCACAGTCACAAGCCATCACCACTACTACAGCACACACCAAAAAAGCAAACACCACAGCTTATATTATTGCCTAAGAGGCAGCAAAGGGATGTCTGGTATCAAAAGTTCAGTGGTTCAGCATCTTAACATAAAAAGTATTTAAATGGTATTTTAAGCTACGGCTACGAATATTTCAAATTTTTACAACCTCTTAAAAGGATGCTTGGCAGTGGAGCATTAGGTGGAGCACAAACAAAGAGCTGAGAGGAACTGAGATTTCCTATTATGAACACAATTACTGACTTCTGAAAGGCCAAAATCTGATTTTGACAGTCATTTAAGAAGTTTCAGGAGCAAAGGATGTTGAGAACAATCTGTAACAGAGAACAAAAAGCTGTCCCTTAGTCCCAGAGAAACAGAACCTGGATTATTAACTGGCACTTTCAGTACCCAATGTACTAGAAATAACTGAAAAAAATAATTTTCTAAAACGGTGAAAATATTCTATAGATCTCAGCTGAAAACTGTCTCTGAATAAGGAGCTCTAATGCCATGGGAAGAAAAAAAGAGGCATTATTTAAAAATCTGAAGAGACTGAAGGGAAGAAAGAAGCTACTTTTTTTCAGAAGAGAAAGAAGGTTTACAGACCACCTGATTAATTGTATTTCAGTCAAAAACTAGGTTAACAACATATAAAGCGCTTGAGGCAAAAGAAATCAATGACATATTTGAATTGATTTTACCAGCATTGCAGGGGACCAAAAATCATTCCTGAAGTCCCCTTTCTTATGTACAAACTTTAACTCAATTAGTAATGAATTTAAAGTTCTCATTAAAACTTGTTCTTCAGTTCCCTTTGATCTCATCCCTCTCACTTGGCGTAATATTTTAAAGGATAATTAATTGAATATTTGCAAGGAATGGCCAAAAAAATCCCCTCTACTTACTATAATTTATCTTGAATCTTCATCCTTCAAAACTAAAAATCTTATTTGTCTGTAGAAATGACAAATTTTTTTAACCTATTAACACTAAACACAATATCATTACTTTCTGGCTTGTGAATGCTTAAGATTCACGTTTTTGTGGAAATAGGAAATTCAGTAGAATATCAGTACAAGCCTTCAGGTTTGGGTAATGTTACCATGCCCTATGCAGCCACAACATAGGTCCTGTCTCTTTATCCCAGATGCAGCCACATCTTATGGTCTATGAGGAGGTTACCAAGGAAATCCTGGATGCATTGAAATGTTTTTGTTTCTTAATATAAAGCAAACAAGCAAACAACAGCAAAAAAACCCAACTAACCAAACACCAAAAAAACCCAAAACCAAAAAACCCAACCTTTCTGCATTTTTATTCCTAAACTGTTTTAATAAAGAACATTTCATCTCAGTTTGGGCTTTACAGCTTTATTTGAAGATCTGTTTCCCTCAGGAGTAAATACTAGCCTACAGGTAGCCTCATCAGTTGCCTCTTAATTTTCTGTCCCTGGACGACTCTGAATATTCGCCCGTGGCCCCACCTTCCTTACAGTAAGTCACATGCCAAAGTGAGTCAGCAAAATATGCTTAACTGTATTCCAGAAAATCAATGCTTGTATTATATAAATGAATAAAAGTGGCCAGAATGTGTATTTCCTTACAAGCTTTTTTGTTTTTATTCTCCCTGTTTGGGAAAATACAGAGATGCATATTACATTCTGGCTTCATGGCACAAAACCACTTACACTCTATAAAAATCCAAATCTAAAAATCTTAAAATCATCCTAACAGTTTGCCACTGTGTGCTTTATCACTATATTTTTCTCTTCAGTTTAAGGTGTTTTCCCTTAGCTGTACGGGTGGAAAATGGATGTCATTAAACTGTTTTCAATAAGTGCGTGACAGAGTTCAATAGTTTTTTTTTCTCCCCCCCCTTAATTCACCATCATCTTTCCTCCACCACTGCATTATTCAAGTGTGTCATCCTCTTCTAATTCCTGTGACAAATATAATTGTAATGATTTTATTTAGGATCAACACTTCCACTCACAATGTGAAAAAGCAAAAAGTTAAAGCAGCTGTGTCACTTGGCTCTGCCTGGAAGTCGGTCAGGGCAAAGGCGAGGCAGCTGTGGGGAACAGGCTGCAAAACCTGCTGCCTGCAGGAAACAGGTCTGGGGACTGACAGGAGCCAGGCAGCACCACCAGCAGCTACTGCTTTATTAATTTTACTGTGTTTCAGCAGGATGAAGGACTGAAACATCAATACAGGCAGAAAAAACACACCCCCCTGTCATATTTTAGATCTATAACATTAGGTTTAATTTAAACATATTTTTAAACATTTATTTCAAACATAAGCACCAATTGTACACAATTTTTTATTTAATAGTATTAATTTAAATATTATGCTAGACTAAATATTACACTGTTATAGCCTCTATATAACATGATTTCCATACATTGCAACCTGGAATGACTTTCAACATTTGACTAGAGGAACAAAAATGCTAATGTAATTACAACCTTATTCCATTTTAAAGCACAAATGACTTAAACAACTAATTTTGTGTTTTCTGTTTTCTGTGACTGGAATAACTCATTGTTATAGCAGGATGATTTTGGTAGTGCCTTTACTACTTTGACTATTCACAAGTTGTCTTACAGTTTCAGACGGTGTCAGACCTAGAGACTACATCTTATGCCAGCTGGAGTGGGAACAGTGGTTTGATGTATAGAAATACAGTTTTTAAAAGTCAGGATCTGCTAGCAGTTTCTCTACAAACCACAATGGCAGCTGTGCTAGAGGTCATGAATATTACATAAGGGCTGTCCATGCATTCAAGCCAGCATCAGTAAGCCAAATTCCCATAGCAACACTCACATAGATTTACTCATCGCTAAGAGATGCATCAGTTCAACAGTAAGCGCTGCACTGCTACCCCGATTAATCCACAAGATACTATTACTTCAACTCTTCTTTTAAAGATTGTGCATTTACTGACAAAATTCTAAACTTCACCTGAATTTCAGGGCAGCTTTTATCACCTTTCTCGGAGCAAAGAAATTTCAAACTGGCAAAAATTAGCCCTGATAAAACTGAAATTCCTGATACAATCAGCAACATTTCTGAGATAAAAGGCTGAAGGAGAAAGAAGACTGTTCCTGTTGAGTTTCTGCTATGCTGATCCCAGGACAGCAAGACCCAACTTCAAAGAGATGTTCAGCACCTCTTACAGTTGGCACATTCCAGCAGCTCATTAAAAAGCTGCTTTAGGAGCTCTTAATAAATATCAGTTAACAACTACATTTTCTAAAAAACATTTTTGGCTTCCCTATTCCGGTTTTCTTGCCCAATGAAGATGTCTGCTTATACGTTATAGTCCTTAATTATTTACGGAGCTGGTCCTTGCCATACAATCAGCTGCATAGCTCAGTGACCTGGACTCATGGATTTCTGAAGAACCCTTGTAAAACAGGTGGCCTAAATGGGCAGAGGGAAAGCTGACAGTGGAAAATTAAATGAAATGGGAGATGGAAGGGAGACAGACAAATAAAAAACAAGGCAAAATGGAGGAAGGGAGTTAGAGATAAAGCGACAATACAGATCAGGTAGATTTGAGGAGGTATCTTAACAGTGTATTTAAATGTAAGATATTAGAAAGAAAAATAGATTTTGGAAAACAGTAATACACTGAAATCTGGTGGATAGCTCACAAAAAAACTAAAACTGGAATGAAGTGATAAATGAATGATAACAAGATGAGTACAATTTTCACAGGTGCAGTAGTATTTAAAGATACAGCATGGATGACAGAAAAAAAAAAAGCCTGTTCACTTCCACTGCTAAAACCTTCACAGTCCTAAATGCATCTCATGCAAAATACATAAACACACATCAAAAACCTAAAGCTTATTTAGTGTTTTCTTACTGAATTGTCACTACTTGCCCAGAGTATGGAAGTAGGAGAAATTAAGACCTGCAGTATATTAATCATGGGGTCATTTAACACAAAGTGTAAAGAAAGTCAATGAAGTCTTCAGGAAAAAAACACCCTTGTAATAGATTCTCCCAATTTACACAGGATTTGTAGGGACTGATCCTTCATTGAAGGGAGATGAATACAATGTTTGAGGGCTGATTTTTGAAACTGCAAGCTTTGAGTACCATAGCACTCCATAGGCAAACTTTCACAAACATCTTCAGTGAAACCTCATAGCTTTGACCCTATACACGGCAATAAATGCATATATTTATTAAAAGAATAAATGCACACATTTAAATAAGAACGTTCTGAAATACACAAGTCAATCAAATGCCTATTATGGAAAACTGATTTTAAGTGATTTTTCATGGAACATATATTTTCACCTGCTGTGTGGAGTATGTTTATAAGAGATCTAATCTATATGTTAACATATTAGAAACCTTTTATCAGTAATGGATGAGATGACAGTCAAAGAATCATAGCATGCTCTGAGTTGGAAGGGACCTTAAAGATCCTCTAATTTCAACCCCCACTCTAAAGCCAAGCATTTTATGAGTTTGTGACTGGAAGTAACACCTTACCTTTGCTTTTTCAAGCTGTGCCTGGGCCTGTCGCTCTGCCTCTCTCCGTACTGCTTCCCTATCTTCTTCCAGAGATACATCTGAATCAGATGGACGGCTGGTGTAGGAGTCCGCCGAACCCTGCACAAGAAAGAGAAAAAAAAATGTCACAAGTTCCTTTGATGTTTAAAAAACAACAACAAACAAAGTAGAAGTGGCTATACCCTTCGCCTTTTTTCGTACTTCTGTATCCCTGAAAACAGAGTAACTGTCCAAAGGGAAAGTCACTTAGAAGAAATTATGCCTAGGTTAATATTTCCTTCTGGAAACTTTCCAAAAGTGCAGGTGTCTTCCCCAGTGTTCTGTTTCCTGCACTATCCTTGCACTCTTATTTGTGTGCTTTTCAGCAAGCAGAGCCCATTGCTCTGTGGAGTTACAGCACTGGTGCAGTGCAGGGCTGAAGGACACACAGCAGCTTCAAGGATGGCTCCATAAAAATGAAAACTCTAAACAGAGACAGAAATAGCAAGCTAACAGATTTTTTATAATCAAAATGCAAATTCAGTATCAATAATTACCATTACACAATATCACTGCTAAGAGATTTAACCTTTGCTATGCATTTTTATTTTAGGGCAGCCTCTTTACCTGACACACTTTCCCCATCGGAACTGCAAATGGCTCATATCCATCTCTGCCCCTCAGCAAAACATGCAAATGACCACAAATCAACTTCCAACTAATAAAATCCGTCTGGACTCAACACATGTCCCCGTATCACCACAATGGAAGCAGCCACAATGCCAGAACAGCCCTATAAATAATGACAGCTCTGCTTTCCCTCTGCATCTCCCTGCATGCAAAATAGAGTTCTGCTAATTCAATCAGAATGAAAACAACTGTCCTCTCCTCACCGCCTTTTTTTCTCTCTGTCTCTGCAATACATACAGTATAAGCTGATAAGGAAAACGCAGGGCTTACACAGATATCAGAATTCTTCAGACGTCCTCCTTTGGCTCTTTTCAGAAGCCTGATCCAGGTGGCCTTCATTAGCCAGACAGCTCAGTTACTGTCCGCAGCTGCAGCGCCCGGCACTGATCTCATAAAACATGTGCACACTGAGCACTGCAGAATCACAGCTCCTTTCCTATCCATGCTCTGCTGTGAGAGCCTTCTTTCTCTTCCCTCTGCCTTTCAAGCTTCCAGCCTCACTGTTTCCAAGTGTTCTACTGCAATTAAATTCTCAAATTTTTTCATGCCAGGAAAAAAAAAAAAAATCATTCCCAAAAAATCCACACCACCTCCAAAAAATCTCAACTTGAACGATAAAAACATAAAATAAAACCGGCTTCAGGTAAATGATGTGAGAGATGCTTCAGCTGATCAGAAACTGAGATCGATGACAGAAAAATACCTAGGGCTTTTTCCTTTCTGTTTTGGGGGGCGGATTTGGCTGTTAAAAATAGTGCTTGTAAGAGAACCTTTTAAAATCCTGTGCAAAATGTATTCAGTGACATTTGCAAGTGCAAAGTTCATTTCATCTCTTCCTAGATTGGCTGGGGGTGGGGTAACAGGCTGTTCATTCCACTGGGCATGCTCCATATGTGCAGCCTTTTACGCAGATGCTCACATCACACCGGGCTGTTAGCCTATGCCAAATTGCCATTTTACATCTCAAGGGTAAACAGCTGGAAAACGCGAGGTCCCTGTGAAACTGGAAGAGCTGGTACAGCGTCTCGTTCCCGTCATGTATGTCTGCTGCCAGCCACGTTTCCCTCGGACGCTTGGTTCTGTCACGCAACGCTGCCCTCCGCTGAGCAAAGCGCTGAGCTCCACTCACAGCTCCCTTACAGAAGCCAAAATTATGCCTGTTGAGTGGGAATTTAACCCCCTGGGTACTGCTTATATTTTTTCTGACATTAGCAGAGGAAACAAGCAAAGAATAACTGCAGCACTAGAACACATAAATATTAGATCCTAATATGGCAAGAGCCAAACAAAACATTAAATTTCCTTATTTTGCTTTTCAGTTACCCTCTGCCGTTTAATAAACTGACATGGGAGTAACATGGTAAGGTTTTGGGTTGTACTAATGGACATGACACATTCTAGTAGAAAAGGATCACTATAGCTGACTGCAGTGCCTGCCTTCAATATAAATCCACAGTCTCAAGACAAATAGCAAATAGAGACTACAGCTGAAAACAGTGTAGACATACATATGTCGTAGCACGTCTCAGGAAGGATTGAATCCTGTAATGGTTTGTGTCTGTATAACAATGAAATTGCTCATCAGAAATGATGCAGCAGCCTACATTTCACCATTATTAAAGCAAACAACAGTTGTCACTAAACCTGTGGTTTATAATAAGGCTAATTTTTAACTTTCCAAATGTTGGGGTTTTTTTCCTTCTTTCCTGAACCCTGTAATTGTTACAGCATAGAGTTTAATAAGCTGTCTTTAAACGGACATAAAAAAACCTGTTTTGCTTTTCAGAAGTTCAGATACATCTGCTATGTTACAGTGACTGTTCAAAACTAAAATGCCTCCTGAGCTAAAGCAAAAGGAGCAGAACATAAAAGAAAATACACTCAAACCTTCTTGAATTTTTTAAAATATCTTGTCCATTAAGAAAATGCAGAGGCCCTGTAACATCCCCAAATCCAAATCTTGTCAAATTTTACTATTCTTTAAAATTTCCCTTTGCCACAACTTCTGACACACCTGCTGAAGGAAACAGTGGAGCGCAACAGAAGTTTAGTGTAGAATTTAAATCCTATTATGGTTGACACAACATTGGGCTATGGACAAAACCATTTATGTTATCATAGCACTAATGAAAGATGAAACTGTAATGAGCTCCCCCATAGAGTCCCACCCCTCAGGACACTCTGCTGTCCCTCAGCACTCCCTCTTTGGAAAGGGCACATCCAAGCCCTTCCCCACCAGTGCTGCAGTTCTTGGTGCCACTCTAATGCCTGAGGCACAGTGTCATAAACCAACTCCAAAGCAACACTACCTTTATGTGAGAGGAAAACAAAGAAGCCATTAAGCCTGACATGGCAATCACATGATAGCCCGTGTGGGTGTTACCTTTCTACAGCACTTCCATGGTGAGTACATCGTATTTGACACTCACCAAGTAGCATAGCATCAGTTTTACTATCCTTCAGTCTGCTGTCCACAAGGGATGCTGCCTAAATGGTTCTCACCCTATAAAAAAATTCATGAAGCACAGTAACATAATTCTTATCTCCCCTAAGGGGGCAAAATGCCTTTTGGGTCAGGCCAGAATCGCTAAAATTGGAATTTCAGCTTCCAGGCCACAGAGATCTTGTACAGTGCTGGTCATGTCTAGTGTTGGCCGCAGTCCCAACACACATCCAAAAAATCATAATGACTCAATTTATTTTAATTATATTGACAAATCACATGAATCAAACTCAACATTACATTTATTTTCCCAGTGGGATGGACATGGTCATGCAAATTTTCTGTGGAAAGGAGAAGTTGGAAGCTTCCTTGCTTCTTAAATATGGAAAAAAATCAAAGTCTTACAGCAGAGTGATCCAGGGAAATGGGTAGCATACAATTACATTTAATTTACTGTATAAACTTCTGAATATTTTTATTTAAGCTAAGAATTCATTCAATCACTTTAAGATAAAAAAAAATTTCAAACGGAGATAAAAGCTATGATGACACTGTAATAGAAATACATGGCTGTTTAAGAAAAATAATGACAATTGGATGTCCATTGTCTATTCATGACAACCAAGGAAACTACATTTCCTCCCTGGGTTACTCAAGTTTTTGGGGTTGCTCTGGAGAACAGTATGAATCTTTTCCCAAGAGCTTCAGAAATTCAGCCTTTGTGAAATTCTGCAGGTCTCCATCTTCTTCCACTGCAATATGGAAGAGCTGTAGTGATATATGTATGTAATATATTCTACTGTAGCCGCCAGTTCATCATCTTTCACGGGAAACTGATAATAAGTGAGATAAGTCTTGTTAATAATTACTCCATCTATTTATCCTTTTCTTCTTTTCTTCCTTACTTGGCAGGTTTACAAACCCATTTTGTTGAAAAAATAATTTCCTGTTTTAATAACGTGCTTGACAAATATTTACCAACTATCTTACCACTTATTATATCAGAGTAGTTTCTATGAGCTATTCTCATAACGTGAACCCATGTTTTTCCCATTGCTAGTGGTCATTTGGGATCATATTTAATCCTCTTTTTCCTTCAAGACCATAAATGTCTTATGTTTTCAGTACTGTAGAAATGCATCATCTTCAAAAGACAGGGTCTTTCAAGTAAGGGGTTTTTTATCATTTCTTTTTACTTGCAGGTAGAAACTCTTTAGGTAAATTAGGTGATGCCTCTAGATCTCTTCATTTTCTTGTTAGTTTTCTGTACCCATGCTTAATTTTCATCAGTACAGTTGGAGCTTAAGTACAGATTTTGACTGCAGTGTTACATTAGTAGCGTAAAATCTGCTGATGTGTTTGTTCTGGTATAGTAATAAATTCTCATGGGGCTAATAAAGCTACCATTACTCTTGCCAGTTCAGTCGTAGCCTTTATATTGTGTCTTTCTCATAAAAAATAAAAGCAATCCTCTGAGTACCATGAGTCTTTAACAGACTCTAATCCACTTATGAATTAGATATCATTAGAACAGGTAATTTTCCAAATTACTGAAAATTCTCAAATAATTAGCTTTTTAGAAAGATCAAACAAGTTCCTTCAAGTTAAGACTTTTTACATTATTATTTATTAAATGAAGGAATGAAGCAGTAAGCAAACATGCAGTAAGATTTTACTAGGAATAAAGAAATACATATGACTGCACATATATATGAAACACTTCATTTATAATACTGGACTCTTCTCAGAGATATATTTGTCATCTTTTAATTAATTTAATGCTGATGAGAATTTTAAATCCAAAAGGAGAAATATATTTATGTCTTAATTTGATTTCTACTCTGAATATGGAAAGCTCAGGCCTCACTGTGCCAATAAGAGGAACAATTCATTTCAATATTCAGAATACATACAGAGATATTGTCAACTCCTTATCTTCTGCCTGTTGCAGTAGTAAGAATGACATCCCATGTCCTGCTCTGATATGATTTGAGATGGTATATTATGTCCTTGTGATATGCAACTACTTCTGGAGTGCTTCGAACTATGGTAAAAAAATATTTCCATAAAATGTTTACTTCACTTAAAATCTTTTAAAATTGATTCAGAACAAAGGCAAAATGTGAAATGTCACAGTTTAGCATGAAGTGAAACTGCCAACACTGGCAAATTATAAAATTCCAACAGGGAATACAGATTGTCCTGTTTCATCATAAATGGATCAACCTGAAAAATGTGAGCCACTCAGTTAGATGTCAGAAGCACTCCCACAAATGCACCATGAGTAAGGACCTCACTTTGGCAGAGTGGCACAGGTGGTGAATATGAAAATTTCTCTTCCATGAAGTTTTCTTCAGATGCCTAAGCAATGCCATGATTTTGAATTATGTTGAAAAAAACACAAAGCGCTGCTGCAAGAATGCTGTGCAATGTTATATTAATATAGTTAATTATTAATTATTTAAGGGTAGAAGTTAAATTATTTGAGAGTAGAATTTTTATGGAAAGACCAAATTTAATCCCATTAATTGTTTGCAACATGTATTTGAAGTGTATGACAAACTGAAGAAATACCATTTAGCAAAGGAAAAAAGGAAAGAGAATATGTTTTCATTCAGGGCATATCAAGCAGGAATTATTAGCTCCTTGTGTAAAGGCCATGGACACTTCAAAACCTGGCAACTACCAAGTCTACACCTGATGTCTGGTGCCCACTCCCACCCCGTTCCCTCCTTGGCATGGGCCCTGCAGTGCTTGGGCATTTGCCCACACACATTTACATGTAAATAAACAATTACTATGCAAGGAGGGCTACCAGCTCCTACAGTAGGCATTGAAATATTCTGCTAATTTTCCATTTTAAAAATAAACCCAATGTTGATTAGAATTTGTTGTTGTTGTTGTTTAGAGCTAATGGGGCGCTGCTATGGCATCTACAGCCATGGGGGATGTTCAAAGAGCAGGACTGAAATTTTAGAACAGCTGGGAGCTTTAGGGTGGCAGTGTGATTAAAAAAAGGAGATTATATAGGAAACCAGTCTTCTCTTTACCCTTAACATGACTTTGTCAAGCTTGATCGCAGCACCCAGTTGACAGTAACAGGGCTCCAAGGTGCTAATCCAGCTGACAGCACAGGATTTTTTAAATAGCCCTTAGGTTTGCGGAAGACTAGATTTTGGCATTCATAGACCAGGCAAACACTTGTACCAGTTACTTTAACCAGGAACAAACTAAACAACAAAAACCCAAATAACACCCCTTCCAAGCAAACCCACATATTTGCACTCATATTTCATCACATTGGCCTAAATGTTTGCTCTTCTGTTGTTTCACTATGAAAAAGTAGCATAAG